CATTTCATTCCAAGGTATTGGGGGTATTGTGAATGGATATTTTATGATTTATTTCTTGACAAGTTTTCCGTTGGCACAAAATATAGACCATATATATACCAATGGTATAGAATAGAGGACTTAGAAACTCACACAGCTGCTACCTTATCTTTGACAAAGCCTCAGTCCCTTCCTATGTAAATTAACATTAAGGTTCTATATTTGTCCTTATTCCCACAGATAAGTGTAGTCATCACCCCTCAACAAGAAAATTTCTCTTTGCAAAAGTCCAGACTATTACAGAAATCCACAATCAATTAAAACACAGAGTTGTGGGTCCCAACACAATGGATATGGCTCCAAAACATCCCTACGCTAAGGTAACATTGTGGAAGAGTTGGCAGAAATATTGTAAGAGCCAGAGGATCTCTCTCTCTCACCCTAGCCTAGTAATCTCAGAAGATACATCCATAAAGTCTCATCGACATTACTGCTTAAACATGAGTTGAATAATGAAAACAATAATAGATACACCAAACTGTATAGGAAAAAGCCCAGAAGGCCCCAACTCTACACAAAGAACTACAGGCAACTAAGGAATTCTGAAAGAGGGAAGAACAGTCTTCTGTAAAGACGAACACATCAATTGGTTATCCAACACCAAATGGTCATCCCTGAAAACATATACAGCATACATATCAGTATATAGCCTGAGCAGGTTATATTTAGTAATATATATGTATATGCATATATGGATGTAACAATTTTAAAAATTAAGAAGCCATGGATTTGAAAGAGAGAAGGGGTATTGGAAGAGTTTGAAGGGAGAAAGGGGAAGGGGAAGTTGTATGATTCTATTATAATTTCAAAAATATAAAAAAACAAGTGAACTTTTAAAAAATTAAGGTTTTAAACTCATAGGCTTTCGAGCACGGGCTGTAAAGGGACTATGTGAGGCAGGCTGAAAGCACCAGTAGAGTACTAGGGGCGTGAACATGCCAGGCCACATTTAGAGTCAAGAAAAGTAGGCGGTTCCTCTCAAAAAGGAAGGTGTTTCTCATGAGATTTGGCCTTCAGGCATCTGTCTAATCTGCTGCCTGGGACTTTGTTCTGCTTCATCTTTATCTTGTCCTTTTCTGTCATTTTTTGAGTAGCTGCTTGGGTTCACATTGTTTCCTAAGTGTGAAGAGAAAACAATGCCAGGGGTGAGAGTTCTAGAGGAAGCGGTGGCCTAAAGCCAGAGCTCACCACGAAGTACACCGTGCCCATCACTTCCGTGGAGCGTGCACCTTCAAATGCTTTTCCTGCTCTCTCTCCCACTGCTTAATCAACAGCTCCTCTGAAGTAGCCATTGTCATGGCTTTGCTTAAAATAAACTACTAAAATCAAGGCAAGCATGATTTTTGGAAAGAGCATTAAAGATGTTTGGAGTTTCCCTATTTATTAGTTGCAGAAAGTAAGATTCTGGTGCTCAGAAGGCCTCAAGACCATTAAAATGTTGCTGTTGGCCACAAAAACACCAGGGGAACCCCACAGCCCTGCAGAGAAAGATAGAAAGAGAAGTATGACTAATCTGGAAAGAAGAGACAAAGCCCCACCACCACCTCTTATTGTTGGGATGTCCTAGAATAATATTTCTTGAGGAAAATGTCTCCCATAATCCACAGGGATGGTACACTGGGGAAGGTCAGGTTAATAGCCTCAACCCCGAACATGTAGTAATCACTCTATCTTCCATGACACTCATACTGGGCTCAGACTTCTTATTCAACACTAGTCCAAGCCCTAGTGGTTCCACCAGCTGCCAAAGTATAAGCTGGAACAAAGAACTGCTGCTTAGGTCAACCCGATCAAAGGGAGTGAGTATGTGTATTGAACAGATAGGCAGGGAAAGAGAGAGAGCTGGGCCTGATGACAGTGTGATAGTGGACAGGCTCTGTATGTCGCTGCAGTTGATCACAGATTAAGAGAAGGCAAAAATGAAGCTGAGGAGCTCCAGAGAATGGGAAACCCAAAGGGCCTAAGCCCCCACCCCACTCCCTCTTGTTCCCCTCTGAGATTCCCCCTTGATCTCCCAGCAGAGGATGCTATATAGCATGAAAGGCCTAGTCTGGCACCCTGGCCAACAGTGGCCAACCCATCTTGCTTTCTTGAGTTCTCGTCTCAGGTTTTTGTATTTTGGTTGTATTGATATGGCCATAAGGAATGTGGCTTAGTTTTGAACTGTCTCTAACTTCACACCATCTCTAACTTCAAATCACAGATAAATGACATGAGCATTCTCTAGAGCACTCATATCCACACATATGTGTATTTCTATGTCCTCATCACAGTGGGTACACGCATGCATGCATGTATGAACGAACACACATGTATGCATGAGCGTGCGTGCAGGCACACACACACACATACACACACACACACACAAGACAGATCAAGACTTAGCCTGGGCACAGAGTTTGCATGCAAGGAAAATTAAACTACAAATGGGGAACAGCACGGGCCAGAAGCTACTGATAGCAAAGTCCTCCTAAGGAAGAAAAAACCAAAGGTAATGGAGACAAAAGCAAATCAATTCAATATTCTAATGCATCAGAGCAGTCATACAACAGTGACCACACAGAGCTGTAACATGCTCTGAAGGCAAGAAGCAGGTAGTGGTACCATTCACTTGCTATGCCAACCATTCCCAGATAGAGTTTGTCTTACTCCCTTTCCTTATCCTCAGATTGAAGGATCATGTTGGAAATGTTATGCTCAAGCCCCCCAAAGTCTGGCATTTCTTTTTAGAAAGATTTTTAAGGGAAATAGAGCCACTGAGGGTATGCTTCTACCCACAACTCTCACTTACTTAACAACAAATTCATACCAGGAACGTATGATGCATGATTATGGCAATACCCATATTAGGGTAATGGGTAATGTAGCTCCCCCAGGATCACAGCTAATAAAAGGCAGCAGTGGCATTTCATGTGTCATTTGTCTGAACTCAGAACTCTGATCACAGCCCAGTAAGCCCAACTCTTTGCTTAAGAGTGTGTGATGATGTTACCTTTAATGGTACTGAGGGACACAATTTTATTTCATTTTTGTTGTTGTTGTCTGCTACATTTGATTTGTGAGTATTTGTGAGTATTTTCTGGAAGCCTTCATTATTTGTAATGATCAAAGTTCAGTGCTAGTGCTGCATGAATCCAAATATTGATAATACACAGAGGCACACAGAGGCACAGAATTAGAACAAAAAGAAAGCATATTCAAACACTAGCACACCCCATCCCCCTTTTATTGCCTGTTTTGCTTATATTTCAAAAACGAAGTAAAATTTTGAATTGAACAGTCAACTGACAAAGAAAGAAACAGCAGGTAGGGCACAAACTTAGGGCTTGAATGAAATTGCTAAGTATTAGCTGGCACGACAGTAGACATTTTTCAATGTCTTGATAGATAAAATTCTTCTCAGCCAGGGTCTCTGAACAAATTGTATTTCACACCAACATGTTTTAGAATGAAATTATACAAATAATAACTGTGTGTTCCTTGGAGATTTAATCAATCAGGACTATCCAAATCTGAACTCAGATCTTTGGAAAGTGAGGTGCTCACACTAAGCAATTGTGCTACATTTTCTGCTGCTTTGCTTTGGACAATGGCACCTTAACAATACTTTGTTTCATCATCCAGCAAATTGTCTGGGTACAAACAGGAAAGCACACCAGCCAGTTAGGGGTTCAAACAAGTGACTTTTCTGCTCTGAAAGTTTGGGGGGGCATGGAACTAAACCCAGAAAAGTGACTGCATCAATGGGCTTTGGGACTTTAAATCTGAAAAACAGAACAAACAGCTACCTACACAGCAAACTTAGTGGTCCTGTATGAAAAATAAAGAATGTTAAACTGGGAGATGAAATAAACCCACCATCCTTTTCCAGAACTTAAGTAGAGGGCAGTATAAACAGTTTATATCCCAAAGTATGGGCAGTAGTTTCAATGTGTTCAAGGTAAACATGGAATTGGAGATGATCACAACATAGCGAAGACTCTATAAATATAACACACTAAAATCATGATTACATTTTGAAATAAAATCCACAAAAGCCAGATCTTTTGTTCATTTGAAGGTAATTGTAATGCTATTAAATTCACAATATGCTAATTTTTATTACCCAATCCTAATTTTTCTAAAATACACATTACAAACATGCAAATATCTTTTCTTTCTAAATATCAGACCCATTCATTATGGTTTTGGAAATGGGGAGAATAGATTCCCCTTAAATCACAAGCCAGTATGTTTCTTTACAATTAACTTAGGCAAAATTCACACAAAGGAGTAATTAACAATGACCTTAACTTGTTAACTCACAAGGAAACACCATCAAAACTGCATTTTGTTAAAGTTTCTGAACTAAAAATGTTGAAAAACTGAACTACAGCAATATTGAAAGGTTAAAAACTCCTTATTTTTATTGCTGGTACCACTGTTACAATTTACATGGTGATATACCTAATGTAATGAACAGGAAAAGTGGCAACAGACAAAAGACCTGAGGTGTGTACATCTAATTGACCACATTGCATGAATGGATAGCTCACTTTTTGCAAACTGTGGCTACGACAGTCCTGAGCAAGAAGGATTTCCTGTTTAAGCTGCATAATTTTTCCGGCTATGGATCATCGTTCTAAGACAGACTTTTACGGTCCCTCTAAAGCAGCTGGGATGACTGTCTCAAAGCAGCCTTCAGCTGTCCTGACAACTTCCCCCTCGCTCTCTTCTGCTACAAACTGTAGCCCTTTTCTGCTGTTTTTAAAACCTTCTGCTATCAGATCTATCACGTCTACCACAGCCAGCACTTTGGGCACTGCCTGAGCTTCTTCCACCCAAACCGCCCCCTTCATGGGTCCATAATTTGATTGCTGTTGTCCACTAAGTCGTTATAGTTCCCACAACCACCATAGTTACCTCCACCAAAATTTCCTCTTTCATTGTAACCATCATATCCTCCACCACCACCATCATATCTAACACTTGGTTTCCACATCCTGGTCCACCACCACCACATCCTCCTCTACTACCATAACCATGACTACACCATTGTTGCCACCATCACCTCCAAATCTATTATATCCACCATCTCCACCACCATTGCCTACTCTTCCACCAAAGTTTCCTCCACGACCAAAATTACCTCCACCACCTCCAAAGTTTCCTCCACGACCTCTCTGTGATCCAGCAGACTGCATCTCTTGTTTAGAAAGGGCCTTTTCTACTTTAGTTTTGCTCGTTAATAGTGTGGTATTTCTGAACAACAGTTTTATCAGCTGTGTCACAATCATCAAAATTACAAAAACACATTCTCTCTTTTGTCCACTCAGCCAGTCTCCCATAACTTCTAAGGTTTCAATCTTGCCATACTTTTTGAAGCAGTCTCTCAGATTATCTTCTTCTGTATCTTCTTTAATACCACCAACAAAAATTTTCTTCCCTGTTAAAGGGGCACCAGGCTTTACAGAATCCTCTCTAGAAACGGCTCTTGTGTTACACCACACGCCCATCAACCTGGTGTGGTCAAACACACATTGCAGTATTCACCTCTTCAACACAAGAAGAGGTCACAAAGCCTTTTGTTTGGGGGTCTCTCGTTACCACACAGTCTGTAAGTGTGCCCCATTTCTCAAAATGTTCTCTTAGGCTATCACCTGTGGTTCCAAAGCTCAGACTACCAATAATAAACAGCTTCCTCAACCATTCTGGTTTCTTCAGATCACGGTCCTCCCCACCCCACATTCCTTGCAGAGGCAGCAACAACCAGAGTCAGGCTGGGGCCACAAGATGGTGGGTTTTACCTCCATTTTGAGACAGGACTCGCCTCTTCCAATTCCTGATTTCATTTTTATGGATATGTTTAGCAATATTTTTTTCTCATTCCCTACCCCCGCCCCCACACACACATACAAAGTAATCCTGCATGCTACTGCCACCTGGTGGCAATATTCCTAACTTACAAAATATATGGTCTTGATAGGTTGAAAATGTGTCTTGAAAATTCAAGTCAGGTGACATAGCTTTTTCATAGACAACTGTCTTATTGTGTAAGCTTGTGTCCTCCCCCTTTCCCACCCATTTAAAAACAACCAAGCAGTTACCATCCCAGCTGTTCTAAAGACTACCCCCATTTGACATCTGTGTCTCTGTCTGCTGCCAGGCTCTGAACACCCAGACTTTGTTAATGCTCATAGAAAGCTTGCCTTTAGGCATATTCATGAATAAGCTAGCTGAGTCTGTCTCCTTGACACACCATGAAAGGAGGTGTGCAAAGTGCGAACGCCTCACTCTTCTTGGCTTCATCGTTTAAGTCCTTGTCGTCAGTGGGCTGGCAAGGTGGCTCAGTGGATGAAAGCACCAAACCTGGTGCCCTGAATTCTATCCCTGGAACCCACATGGTGGAGGAAGAGAACCAACTCCCTCAAGCTCTTTTGGCCTCCACAGGAGCACCGTGGCATGTGTCTGTACTCAAATGAAATAGACAAATGTCATTTAAATAAAGCAACCAGTAAGCAGGTTTCTAATGTCACCATTGCATTTAATGGAGGCTTCCAAGAAGGTGGCACACACAAGCATACATGGGATAAGCCATAAAATTTGTATTTCTGCTTCCATTTTCTCTACTCCAACTTTTTAATCAACAGTCTAACAAGTTACAAAGCCAACTGTCTAAGAGGAAGAAGGTAGTAGAACTCTAAAATGTCCTATTAAAATACACATATTTTGGACCAGCGAGGTGATTAAATGCGTAAAAGTTCCTGCCATCAAGCCTGGTCATCTAAGTTTGACTCTAAGACCCAAATAATGTAAGAAGAGAATTGACTCCCACAAGTTGTTCTCTGACCTCCACATACATGCTGTAGCATATGAACATCTGCATACAGAATAAAAATAATAAATTAAATTTAATATTATAAAAATTAAAATATATTCTGCCTGTTTTGCTCACTAGTATGCTCTCATATTGCCTATAGTCTCTCATATTCGGTAGGAATGAAATGAGGGGGCTGGACACATCTTCAATGAGAAGCAGAGGAGGCAAGGACAACGTCCTAAGCAAATGATGACGCTGGGGAAAACTGCATGGAGCTTTCTGGAGTCTCAGGAAAATCAAGAGAATATAATTTCTTCTTGAAATAAGCCTAACTTAGCCTCTTGCTATATGTGCAATGTTAAACCGCATTCATTCTAGCATGTTCACATACAAATTGGAATCTTTGTTAATCATTTTTCTGCCCTGCTTAGATTCTTCTACTCTGTCTAGATCTTGGCCAATGCCCAGAACCTGACTACATCCAGTGTCTCCAGAACTCCATGCTGAGCTGTACAAACAAGTGATGTTTTCAGCCCAGCAGCAAGGTCATGGGAATCTTTAAGTGACAGAGAGATATGAAACCCATACCAAAATAAAGTCTAGACCTCCCAGGAAACATTTTTACCAAAGGGGAAACCCATAGGCTTCCACAAATATTCTGCACAATCAACATTTTCTGTTCCTGCAGACTGGAACAGTGGTGGTACCTGCTTGGGAAAATCCCAGGCATCTTGCCAGATAAATCAGCTGATATGTTACCAGGGAGGGGCATACTGAGTATCGAAACTTTGTTTTTGCACCAAGACAATCATGAGCAGACTCCCTTCCATTTCTCCTCCATTTTTACAGGTTTCTTCTTCGCCTACTACCAACCAGCCTTGAGCAGGAACCATTCAGCAGCCATGCTGAACAATGATCTGTCTTGCCATCAAATACCCTGTACAGACAAATAAGAGAGGCATAGAAACTCACACCCTAGGGACCTAGACAGCTACACTCTCAACTTACTCTGCAACACATCTACACCTCACAGAATTAGATTAGTTTTCATTTAAAGAAATAAATATCTAGGTGGTTAATGAGTGGTACTAGGTTTTCATTGTTGTATCTCTTGGTATTACTTTGAACTTTGAAAATTACCAAGTTCAAAAGATTTTTTTCGAGAGGATGCCAAATGACAGCATTCCCAGGCTTTGCATAAATCTGCATGTATGTAAACATGAACACTGTTATTCTAGCACTTTCTGTTGTATGTGTACGGAAGCATCCGAAAAAGTCCAGACTGAACATGCCAGCAGAATAGACCAGGCCATGAGAGGAGGTGAGGAGAGCAAGAGAGGAAAGAGGAGAGAGGGCAAACAGACGAAGAGAGGTCAGAGGTCAAGGAGGGGAGCTAAGACCAGAACTGAGAGAGCACACAGCCAAAATGGCTGCGCTATATAGGAAAGAGCAGGGAGGCAGTGAAGTTCAGGGGCTGGAGCCGTTTAGGGTAGGAGGTGGAGTATGCCAGCCACGATGAGTCTGCAACCCTAGAGCCTAGCATAGACCTTGATATGCTAATAGGCACCACAGGCATACGTTAATAGAAGAACCATGTGTCTCTGACGAATGCTGACTTTTGTCTAAATGGGATTTCTTGGGACCTTACACCCTGATAGACAAAAACAGCAGCTTCTGGTAGCAGCAACTGAGGCTATCTCCAAAGTTATAGCAGCAACTGAGGCTATCTCCAAAGTTATAGCAGCAACTGAGGCTATCTCCAAAGTTATAGCAGCAACTGAGGCTATCTCCAAAGAAGGGCAGCAAGGGATTCCATCTACATCTTGCTTTGCATGTGGTAATACTGACCACTAGGCAAAGAACTGCCCCCATGCCTAGGCCATCACCCAAGCCCTGCCCAAACAGTGGACACTTTGGATTGACTGCCCTACTCTGACTTTCCACGCAAGGTCAGTTTTCCTAAGTTCATCTGACACAGGAAAATCTCTTAGACCTTCTGAGTCTAGAGACCAAAGGCTGACATTGACCTCCGCTGGCTGTCCAGGTATGGGGTAAGTCTCTGTCATTTTGTTACAGAAGTCGTTTGGTTTATACCTCCTACTCAGATTTATCCTTCTCAGATCTCAGTGGTGGTGTTGATGGATTGCCCTGTTTTATCAGTTTAACAGCCTCAGGCAGACTTTAGCCAGGTTCTCTCACAAGAGCTGCAGTCCATTTCATAGGTAAAAATCAGGTCTTGTTTTTTCTGCACCTACTAGGTCTCCTGCTGAGAAAGGTAAATACAGACAGGTTTGCCTTGCTGGCAGGCTTCATGCTGAGAAAGGTAAACTCACAAAACAGGCTTCAATGTGAAGACAAACTCAAGCTTCCAAGCTGCTATTACTTAAATATTTACATTCATTTAAAAGAACTTGCCTTTCAATGACTGCTCTTAGTAATCAAGCACCTATGCCTCATTGGATATTTACAAATGGAAGAAAAGAAAAGAAAAAGTTTAAAGTTTATACAAGTTGTAATGGTCTGAGAAATGATTTTTAAGGTATGTGAAAAAGTGAGACTTATGATACAAATGATGTTATGACTTCAAAAGTTCAGAGGTTTAACACATTAACCATTGTAATTCTGGTAAGTTATTAATCTAGACTTGGGGGGGGAACGAAAACCCTGGCTACTAAAGCATTTTTTAAAATTATCATAGTTCACAGGCTCAAAATTTATAAATTTTCCTTGGTATCATAGGAAGTCAGCAGAATATGGTTCATTTCCCACAAAGCAGTGTCCAACTAATGGTACTTAGGTCTAGAGACTTCAGAGTGCCACCTACAGCCATTTCAAATAAACTCCCAGCTTGTTTTCCCACTCAAAGATAGTCTGCTTTGAATGAATTCCTGCTTGCTTCCCAAGGAAAACTCTCCGCGAAATCGATGCTGTAGTGGGCGCTAAGCCACATCTAAGGAGAAAGCTCTGGAGACTGGCTTGTTGCATTAGGACCATAGAGATGAGCAAGGAAGATGGATCCACTGGGTAAATGGGATCAACACGTAAACCTGAACACCTAAGTTAGAGCCAGAAACTCGCAAGAAGAGCCTGTACATATATATGTGCTCCATGTGTGTACCTGATGCCCAGAAGCCAGAAGAGGGCATCAGATAGTCTGGTGTAGAATTAGAAACAGTTGTTATGACTGGGTTCTGTCACAGTGGCCATTTCTCTTAACTGCTGACCCATCCTCCCAGCCCCCTATTAAAATAGTTTTAACTTAATGTTTTGTCTTCTCAACACCTTCCTAAGGAGAAAGTAAGTGAGGGTGCTTTTCACAGGAACAAATACAATTTTCCAAACAGAAAATGTCCTTGAAAAATTCCCTTTCTCCGTATTCCCCGCAGGTCCCCTTGAGGATTGTGGAAAACCTTTCTAAAAGTAGATTTTGTCTCTGGTCCCCAGTGATAATGTGGGTGCTAATGTTAGAGAAGGAACCCCATAATCTACAAAAGGAAACACTACTCTAGACTAGACCTAAAAATGTTTCCAATGCCAGCAACAGGGGGAATTCACCTTGAAATAAAGAAGCTAACAATTAGATTGTTTACATCATTTTAAGAATCTCAGAGTGAGCTGGAGAAACCACTCAGAAGTTAAAAGTACTTGCTGCTCTTGTAGAGCCTCAGAATTGGGTTTCCAGCTCCCATGCCAGGCAGCTCACAACCTCCTGTAACTCTGGTTCCAAGGAAGCCAATGCCCTCTTCTGGCCTCCACAGGGACCTGCCTGTGTGGAACACAACACATGTACACAAATCAGACAGACAGACAGACAGACAGACACACACACACACACACACACACACACACACACATACACACACAAAGAAAAACAAAATAACTGCAGAGACCACAGGAAGATTCTCATGCTTCCAATTTATTCGACAGAAAGGAGATTGCCCCATGGCTTTGGTGCCAACTTGTCCCACAAATGGTTCATGGGTGGCAATATGAGATGGCTTCTGTCATACCACATAGAAGAAAAAACAAGAGTTTTTCTCTAGGATTTGCCACTAATGGAGCTCAACATTCTTGATCCATAACAGGGTGTCCTAGGTTTTCTTTTTTTTAAGAGGAAGAGATTTGTTAGAAGGACTATTGAGTTGACAAAGGAGTGGTTTCCATTAGTAAGAGTGAAGCCATTTTCAAAAGAAAAAGGCACATATCCTGGGAACAGGACGATAAAGCTGGAGGAGAGCATCCTGTTCTCCGCTTTTACATAAGGGCCAATTCACCCATCCTGGGAATAACTTTCCACCTCAGCAATCAAATTCTCCCGATTTAGAGCTGTATTCTGTTCATTGGGCATAACTGATATCTCTCTAGGAGGAACAGTGACCTTTTCAAGGACCACAGCCTTCTTGCTAGAAGTTCCCTTCTCACTGAGAGTCATAGTCTGAAGATAGACAAGAGTTGTATCCATCCCTGGAGGGGTCACAGACTGACTACCCACTGTGGCTGTGATCTGTCCCCCAGGGGTCACAGACTTATTACCCACTATGGTCACGGTCTCTCCCACAGGGGTCACAGACTTATTACCCACTATGGTCACGGTCTCTCCCCCAGGGGTCACAGACTGATTACCCACTGTGGTCATGGTCTCTCCCCCAGGGGTCACAGACTGATTACCCACTGTGGTCATGGTCTCTCCCCCAGGGGTCACAGACTGATTACCCACTGTGGTCATGGTCTCTCTCCCAGCTGTCTGTGTCTGGACTGTCACTGTCATCCCAGTCATGGTCTCAGACAGAAGGTCCAGTGAGGTTGTAGTTTTTGCCCCAGGAGCCATAGCGTTTCTTTCTAGAGCTACAGCATGTGTTGTAGGAGATGTCGTTCCCGCAGGAGTCACAAATCCACCGTTAGGGATTGTAGTCACCTTTTCATACTTTCTGTGGACCTCAGTGGCCATAGCCTCTCCTCCTGGGGGCAAAATCTTTACAGTATCAGTGGTCAACTCCTCTGTCACGGGAAGACTCTCAGAGCCAGGTCCTGAGGAATTCACAGGCAATGTAAACCAAAATTGTGGCAAAGGGGTTGAGTTGAACTCTGAAGAAAAATCATCAGGAAAAAAAATAGTAAGATTTCTACCTCTTCTTTCCTTTCTTATTAATTCCCAACAACTCTAAAGTCACTCCAAAGCTGAAAAATCTGATCCAAAAACCCAGCATTGAAAGACTTCATGATTTACTCACCGGAAGAGAAAGATAAAAATCCAACCACACCAAAGCTCTGTAACCTTACCCATAGGTGTTAGCATAGACCCAAACTGTGGGCCATCTATAGATTTGCCACACTTCTGGTGACTACTTCAAGGAAGGCTCTTAGGTCCTTATGTCTAGTCCTTCACTTTAACCTCCCTGGGTACTTCTAGACAGACATTGTTCAAGGTCTAATTTGCTGTTGACAACTCAAGGAGTAGTTGTCTGTATGCCATGTTGGAGGAGGTGTCAGAAACAGAGCTGAGGCCTGGAGACTCTACACTGCAAGGTAAGTTGCTTGCTAGCCTGGCTGAGCTCCAGTCCCAAATTTCTAAGGGAATTCAACTCTTACATACGATTTCCTAACTGCCAGTACAGCCACTAATATCAACAGGTGTGTGTGTGTGTGTGTGTGTGTGTGTGTGTGTGTGTATGTGTATACCTTTTCTAGTCCCTTGCCCAAGAAATGAGGAGGAAAAAACAGAAATGAATATTAACTATGAAATAGTATGTTGTTCATATCTCAATTAGTTCTTCATAATGTTCTATGTCTAGGACTATCTCATTTTCAGAAGAGGCAAAGGAAGCTCCAGAAAGTCAAATTTGGTTGACATTAAAGTCTGCGTCAGTGTCAAGTCAAAGAAGTTAGACCCAGCAGAAGGGACCCACCAGTGTGGTTCTACCACTTACAACCCTGGCTTCTAGGTCCTAGTTAACTTACCTGCCCGCACCAAGAGCTCATTCAATATATGGACAAGGGGGAAAGGGCCATTGCCACAGAAAGTGCCCCTGACGTCATCCATATCCAGTGTCCACACCATGGCCCCCCCAAAATGTTCTTTTTTCACGAACATTGCCTGTAAAAGTAACAATCAGTTGCTAACCACCCTCTAGTCTGGGTACAGGAGGAAAACAACAGAAGTTGAACAAATCTGCAGAAAGCAATGAATGAGGGTATTTATGGTAATGGTTGCCTCTATTTCTCATTAGTTATGGAATTTTCAAATTTCTATATGATTCTTATCTTCCTTGATCATCTATTTCAACAAAAATAAATAATATTTCCAATATTTTAGGGACAAAAGAATGCCTACACAATACAACATGAATGAGTTTTTGAAGATACTATGCTAAGTAAAATAATCAGACAAAAGAAAAATAATAAAATCTATGTGATTCCACTTATTGTGCTAAGTATTCAAAGTGGTCAAACCCACAGAGGCAGGAAGTATAATAATTGCCAGGTGCTGGGGAGGGGGAGGAAGGGAGTTAGAGTTTATGGGTACAGAGTTTGAATTTGGGAAGATAGAGGAGTTGTAAAGATTAATGGTATGAAAGTCAAACAACATGTGAGCACATTTAGTGTCACTAACATGAGGGCTTAAAATGACTAAAATGGGATTGGAGAGATGGCTCAGAGGTTAAGAGCACTGCTTTTTCTTCCAGAGGTCCTGAGTTCAATTCCCAGCGACCATATAGTGGCTCACGACCATTTATAATGAGATCTGGTGCCTTCTTCTGGCCTGCATATATACATGCAAACAGAATATTGTGTACTAAATAAACAAATAAATACATCTTTTTTTTAAATGACTAAACTACAGGGAGGGCATGATGGTTCATGCTTGGAATCTCAGCACTCAGCAGCAGGAAAATCAGAAGATCAAAGCCAGTCTTGGCTACATAGTGAGTTTGAGGTAAACCTTGGCTACAGCACCCCTCACCCATTAAAAGAAAAGATAAAATGGTAAACCCTATGTTTTATGTTATATGGGAATACTCCTTAACTTTAGCAGGTACATAGCTAATGTTTCCTAATGTTAGCTACTCTTTCCATATCCCTCAGCCTGCCACCATCATCACCACAAAACTGAACTATGAGATCATTTTATCTTTTAAAATAACTTCCACAAACCTTATATCACAGTGGTGCTAAAAAGTAACCATAAAACAGATACTGTGTGCACTTTTTACAGGTGAAAAGATAAAGACTGTCTTCCATGACTTTTAAAGATCAGCTCTAACTAAACCACAGGGCTTGCACTCTAATTCTGGACCATTGTTATTTTGCTGGTGCTCCCTCTCCCTCTCCCTCTCCCTCTCCCTCTCCCTCTCCCTCTCCCTCTCCCTCTCCCTCTCCCTCTCCCTCTCCCTCTCTCTCTCTCTCTCTCTCGTAGAAAATAAAACAAACAAACCCCCACAGACTCTATCCTATTTAAATATTTGTGTGACATTACTCAGTCATTTTGCTCTTTCGTGGAAGATCCAAAGTTTCTAGAAGCTTATCCTAATTACAGGCTAGTAAGTTACTTTGGATCAGAGAGAAAACTACTCATATTGAAACAAGAAGCCAGAAAAGCTCCTTGAATTGCCTCCCCTACCCTAGAGGGTTTGCCCCTTTAAATATTTAGCATAATAAGTGAAATCATACAGAATTTATCAATTTTTGTGTGATTATTCTGCTCAGCATCTGTTCTGCTTAGTATCTTCAAAATTTCATTCATATTGTAGTGTATAGGCATTCTTTTGGACCTAAAAATATTGAAAATATTATTTTTTGGATGAGGTATCCAAAGAAGGTAAGAGTCATATAGAATTTCTAAGATTCCATAGCTAATGAAAAGTAGAGGCTTGAATCCAATGCAGATTATAATCATTAATGTCCTCCTTCGTTGCCTAGTGTGAGGAACTGGAGAGATTGCTCAACTATTAAGACCACTTACACTGCTCTTACAGAGGACTCCAGTTTGGTTAGCACTTACATGGTAGCTCACAACCATCTGTAATTCCAATTTCAGGGGAAACAACACCCTCTCCTAACCTGCAAGAGCACTAACAATGCTAGTGGTACACATATCCATGCAGGAAAAACATTCATATGCATAAAATAAATCAGTCTAAAAAACTTTAAGGCACTGTGACAAACTGATGTTGTCCTGAATGTACATGAGGTTTGCACCACAGAACAGACTGGACATTGTCAAACTTGGAGCTTAGACAATGGATAAACTATCTGGCCTCTCTCTCCATGAAGAGAAAGCCAACTCTCCACTGATATGGACAGTCCATTTTGTTTATGTGTAAACACCAAGGGTGCTGACAATGGGAGGGAAGGTAATGGTCTTTGAACACAGGCAGCGGATCCGGGGGAATGTGGAAAGGTGGCTTTCCATTTTAGCATAACTTGCCTGCTTCCTTTCCTAACTGACTTGCCCCATGCAGGAGCACTAAAATATTTAAAGTAGTCATGTCCCAATAATGACCTCCAAAGTTTCTTTCTGCTCTGATATTCTCACAAAGTGCTCTCATCATCCCCTCAACAGGCCCACATCCTTTATCTAGCTCTAGCTCAACAAGGCACAGTAATGCCCATGATTCAAGTCCTCTGTGCTACCGATCCCACGGCCTCCCACAACACACGTAGGAGCAGATGAGTTCTTCTATTTGATGTTCTGAGGCTCATGTATTTAAGTTCATCTGACTGTTTCCATTGGGTCATCCTCTGTCTTCCATTCCCAAACTAGAGTAAGGTCCTAGTAGCTGGGAAGCTTGCTTTCTACTTGAGTTATGCACAGAAGAAATACACAGTGAAACATCACTAATGTCCCACTATCTCTAGTGCCTTTTTCCCCAAACTGTCTCCCAAAGAACAGCCAACATCTGCCACTGCTATCACCTACAGCAGAACTATGAATTTTCTCTACTCCTAGCCCCCAGTATCCATCAGTTGTCAATACTCACAGTCCACCTCTCCTCCAAGGTCCAGATCCTCTTTATCTTATTCCTGGATCTTTCCTTGTCCCTTAGAGTTTCCAAAATTGCAAATATTTATAGCAAGGTCACATGTAAAGGCATACTAAAATTAGACTTTTTTAAAATACCTACTGAATATAGCTGTGCTCAACCAAGAGTTTCCATTTATTAAGTCTTTCAGAATTATCAAAACAAGGGAAGGTTTGGGAGCAACTGGACCATGTAGCTTCTGCTTGAATTCAATATCAAAGTCTACCAGACTCACAGCTAAGGAGATGGTTAAAAAGACAAAACAAGCAAACAAACAAAAACAACCCTGCTGTGTAAACCTACGATCCTGAGTTCAAACCCTAGGACCACATTTAAAAAGCCAAGCATAGCAGTGTAAGCCTGTAATTCCAAAGCTCGGGAGATGGAGACAGAAAGACACCGGGCTTGCTAACCAACCAGTCTAGCTGACTCCAGGTTCACAAAAAAAAGCAAGGTGAGAAGAAATTAAGAAAGATGACTTGACATTGGTACCTCTCTCCCTCCTACACACACACACACACACACACACACACACACACACACACACACATACACACATACACCCCACCTCTGTCAGAGTCAACTTTATTTATGCCACTTACATTGGGGAAAGGGATGGTCAATTAGACTCCAAGTTTCCAAACTGCAAATCACATATACCAACTCAGATACTCCCCTTGAAGAATTAAACTCTCACCAATATTGTAGGCCCTCCACAGAAATACCCTGCCCCACCCAAATTTTCCTTTAGACCTGTGACAAGATTCTATTCCAGTGAGCCTCTCTCAAAAGTCATCATCTCCTCCTACTCCCACCTCCCTCAGAAAAACCTAGTACTTTCCTCATCCCTGCCCCCATCAGTAATATTCATGGATGCCTAGTGTAACATAAACCATGTCTACACACATGTGTGCACGGGCATAGACACATAGTATAAAGGAGAGTCCCATCAAAGCTAACGAGAATCTGAATACTGGAACAGAAAAGACCAAGTGTCTTACCTTGTAACTGAAGCTGACGGCATCATCATAGCCAACCCACTCCTTCCCCTTGTAGGCATATGGGACATATTGATGATCAATCCAGTGTTTTTCTGCTCTCTGGATAAAGGAACAAACCTGCCAGGAGGACACAGGTAACTTCCATGAAATGCCTTGAAGACAAGCACCAGGAGACTCGGTTGCTTCTTGTCTTGGAAGAAAGAATCCAAGAAAAGCCTCTCACCAGGGCCTGAGACCACAAACCAAAAAGGAAGGGAGAAACTGCCCACAGAGAACTTCCTCTACATATTGATTATGTTCCTTCTGTTATAGGGCCCTTCCTCTAGAGCCCACAGTTTAAAAGAAAAATGTGACAGACCTTCACCAGAAACAAAGTCAGAGTTTGGTAAATAATGCCAGTGCCACAACACTAAGATGAATAAGCCTGACCAGTGACCAGGACTGCATCTGTTTTGTTGTCTTCATAAACAAGTCTCTCTTGTGTTCATTAGAGCTCATCACCAGCTGCCCCATCCAGGGAGCTAAATGACTAACACCTGAAGTTCCAGTACTTCTAAAGGTCTTGAAGCCAGTTAACTAGGTTATTATAACACTCTTGAGTGCCCACTGAAACCCCAGCATTGTGCTAGAAACTGAATATTGCAGACACATAGATGTTCAAGTTGTACTGTAGAAGTGAACATCTAAGTCATTCTTTGTGAGGTTGTTGCTGTTGTAGTGTTGCTGGTTTTTGGTTTTGGGTTTTTTTTTCTGATTGGTTAAGTTGTTGGTTGGTTGGTTGTACATTAAGGTTTTGTGTGTTGAAGTTTCTGTAATCTATCATGGCTTTAAAAAATGTTCTCTCAACTATGATACCCTTAACAACCATGCTTCATGAGGTTAGCAGGAAAATATCTCCAATGATCCAATAGAGAGCAGAGTTTGGAGGTACATGCAGCATTTCCATTCCTCCCTAAGGGAGAGCTATAACTCTTCATCTGGCAACCTGCAGTCCTCTACTTAACCCCAAGATTCTCCAGAGCACACACATGTGTGTGTGTGTGTGTGTGTGTGTGTGTGTGTGTGTGTGTGTTTAAAAGGCCTGCATTTTATTTATAATATAGACCAAATCTGAATTTACCCATGTAACATTTAAGATTTTCCTTTTCCAGCCAGTGGTGGTGGTGCACATCTTTATCCCACCACTTGGGAGGCTTGGAGACAGAGGTAGGTGGGTCTCAGTGAGTTCGAGGCCATCCTGGTCTGCGAAGCAAGTTCCGGAACAGCCCGAACTACAGAGAAACCATGTCTCAAAAAGAAAGAAAGAAAGAAAGAAAGAAAGAAAGAAAGAAAGAAAGGAAGGAAGGAAGGAAGGAAGGAAGGAAGGAAGGAAGGAAGGAAGGAAGGAAGGAAGGAAGGAAGGAAGGAAGGAAGGAAGGAAGGAAGGAAGGAAGGAAATATTTTTATTCTTTCCATTCATATTCTCCCTGGACTTTTATCTTTTACAAAGGACTCCACAACCCCAAAGGAAAAATATTTTCAGTGAATTCCCCTTGTCTGGAAAAAAAAATGTCCCTTTGCCCTGTCTCTAGCTCTCACCCACCACTGCTCTGTCCTAGCTCTTGCTCCAGCTTGAGGGAGGAGCCCCAGCCACTAGACAGAGGTCCCTAATTCCATCACCTCATAGTAAGCCAGGAAGCCAGCCTGCTTGGTGTACTTCCCAGGAGATGCTGGTCCCATTGAGGCAGCCTGCAATCCATTCTTGGATTCTCTGAGGAGGTGAAAGGTTCGTCCATAGGCAGGGAAGCCCATGAGAAGTTTATCTGCAGGTGCCCCAAGATTTCTCCAGTAATTCATAGCAAATGCCTGTAGATGGAAAGAAGACAACCTCACCAATTATCTGGGCCCAAGGATAGGAATCTGGATCACCTGAGACCTTTCCTTTCCTTACCGAAGATTTTGGGTCTTCAGGAAGGGAGAACAGAGGACTGTTGTGTCCTGTAGACTTTTCCCAACTTCCATGTAAGTCATAAGACAAGACATTAATGAAATCCAGACGTCTGTAAGGAACAGAGGAGGGAATATGAATGTCAGGCTAAGTAAAAACTCAACTCAGATCATCACAGTACTCTTCAGCTAAATAGCTGCAAGTTGACCATCAGAGCCTCCTGTGGACCTGCTCAGGTTAAGCAAGCCACTTTGAGATGAAATGAATTTCTGACTAGGGATAGCTGTGAATCAAGCTCTATGCATCCTGAGAGTACACATGGAGGTAGAAAGAGCTCAGACAAGAAAATGAATACATGCAGGCCTGACAGAGGGTGGCAGAGGTCTGAATAAACTGTCATGAATCGAACAACAGTGCGGCCCTATAAAAGTGCATGCCAGAGAACTACTGTTGTCCACTCTTCCAGACACTTCCATAGTCGTAATGATCAAATATTACCTAAGCATGTATCATGTCAGAATGTAAGGTTTGTGCTGGTTATCTAATTTAATCTGGTGAATGTTGTAAATAGACTCTTCCTCTCTGTGTCTGTCTGTCTTTCGTGGCAGTGTCTCATTATACAACCCATACTGACCTAGAAATGACTATGTAACCCCCACTAATCTCAAACTCATGATCCTCCTTCCTCTATCTCCCTGATGCTGTGACTACAGAAAAGTATACAAAACCATATCCAGCCAACTTTTTACATTTTAAAGTTAAATAATTAGAAACATACTAACATATTTCTGAAAGTCACCCAGTTAGGTAAAGGCAGCACTCTCTCAGTGTTACCTGGCAACACAATGACTACTAATAAGCTTTCTTCCCTGTTGGATCTCTTTTCCTCCCACATTAAAACAGCTCTCCCTCCTGCTATTACACAGGGACACCATGTCCTCTATTTCTCTGCATAAACCTTGGCTTCTTCATCTTTAATACTTGATTGTGAGTCAAGAAAATTAGGTGAGAGTCAGCATGTCTAGAAAGACTATGATCTATTTTTGTCTGCTTTTTAACTGTTGCAAAAAGATCTACTCTGAAGTGTAAGTACACTGGACATTCCTGTGTTGCTTTCCATGGCTTTGCTTGCTACTAACCCATCCTCTGCCACTACCACTTATTGCGTATTGCGTATTACTCCTGTGCTCAGAGGAGGAAGAGGCCAGGTCCACGACATTCTCTATCTATGAGTTCCAGGAATGGGTCCTGCAGAAGACTCTACCTGTGGTAATGGTGCTATAATCCAGAAGTACAAAACCCAAATCTGATTTTTTTTTTTATGAAAACCCAGGGATGGGTAAGACACCACTCCTATCCTCAGCTCACTAGCTCCTCACTCCACTCCTCAGCTCACCAACATGGGACAGCAAAGGAGACTCAGACAGTGCTTTAGCCACTCAGGAGCAACATCCACTCACCTTCCTAAAAGGTGCACATCATAAGATGTTTGAATGATGTATGGGATGCCAGAGACAGCAGCCGACAGCAGCAGCCTCGGGCGCTGGGTGAGCAGTGCCTCCTTCTCAAAGGCAAACTGGAGCTCCTAGGGAGACACACACACACATACACACAGAAATTGTTTAAGCTCTTTAAGCTAGGCCTGGGACAGAAAGAGAAAACAGGTTCTGCCCACAGGCTACATGAAAGACAAGACAGCATACCAACATGGTCCCTGAGTTACCAGAACAAGACCAGGAAGCTTCAGAGAGAAAGTGTCCCTTAGGCTACAGAGCTGGGACAAGATCCAGCTGGAGACAGAAACAGCCCCAGGACAACTGCTCTGCAGCAGTGAGAGCCAGCACCTCCTGGGAATGTCAGTAAAAGAATATTTTGTTCCTTTCTCCGCCTCAAACTTGTGTTACCTCTCTAACATTCGCCCACCCCAAATGAAAAGTGAAACCATTTTCTATTGTCCTTACTTCAATTAAGAAGAGAAAATTCCATCGGTCGTTAATGGGGCTGCCTCGTAGTCCAGGGTACAAGAAGAAGAGATCAAGCCCATCAAAGCCATGTGTTCTCAGGAAGGATACAACTGAACCAATAAATTTTTCACGGCTGGCAAGGGTGGACAGCATAGTGGTGAACCTGCAGGGAGACCAGGGTAAAGCAAAGAACAATGTCTTCAAAATTAGTGTCCTCTGAAGTCCTAGCAAGGTCCCCCAGCAGGTGACTTAAGTTGGCATGAGGCAAAGTGCTCTCAAGGAAAATTCCCACCCTTGGCTCTTATTCTTTGCCTTGTTTGATTTTTTGTATTTGTTTCCTTTTCCACAACAAAACACTTAGGAGTAATTCTCACTTATGGGAGCTAACTTTAAGCAAATCCAGATTAATCTTGTGGAAAGTGATTATAAAATAACTAGACCTAGAGATAAATGGACCTGGGTTCCATTGTCCATTGGCCACCAGTCAGCTGGGCTCTCTTGAGGGGTGAGGACACCTGGAAGAAAACTTGGCAAGTTCCTTAATCCTTGTGACTCTCGCTTTCTTTTCCTAATAATTTGAAATACAGCCATTTCCCAAGAAATCATTCATATATACATATACGTGTGGCATCTCACTCGGCTTTAGGCTCATAGCAAGTCAAAGGAACAGAGATGAGGCCTGGGGCTGAACAGAGTTAGTTGCCAGACACCTCATACCTAGGACCCTCCATCGCACCTGGAGGTCCCTTTCAAGGGGCATCCTACACACACCAGACTGTCAGGTCTTCTGCCAAGGCTGGAAGGCAGGCTCTACCCCAGACCTTATCTAGGAAGTAAGGAAACTGTCCTTTTGAGATTATGAACGTGGTTTGTCATTTCCCTATTGTGGTACTAACAAGAACAGCCACCACATGAAGGATGTATGCTGTGAGTCCCTGCAATAGCACCAAAATATCATTAGTTGTGTCTTTATCTCTAACACAGCCAGCCCCATGCACAGACTGGCAAAGCCCAGGGTCTGTGAGGTTTGTGGGTTACTCTTCTTGGCCCATATAAAGCTCCTCTCTTCTTGTCCTATATAAAACCCCTGCTTCCAACAAAAAGAGTTAAAGACTCATTTGTGCACCTCCCATTTCACCTGTTAATCATTTCTTGCCCTGAGTTTCAAGTTCAATGCCTGTTTTCCTTGGTATTTTTTTCCTATGAATTTGTATCTCCAAGTGGTCTTATGTTTTATTTTGTTCTGTTCTGTTTTGTTTTGAATGTGTTTTCAGATGATGCTAAGGGTCAGACTCAGGGTCTTGGACATGTTCACCAAGTGCACTGCCTCTGCACCACACTCCCAGTCCTAAGTGCACCATATTGTCTCTTGTGTTCCCCTGTCCCTTTTCTCATCACCTTTAGGATCCTCTTTTCCTCCTATGACCCTCTGTGGAAAAAGGATCCCTTGAATCCAGGACTTGAGAAGGTACCAACATGAACTTTGCTGTCCTTGTATCCAAACTGGCTTACACACACACACACACACACACACACACACACACACACACACACACACACGCACGCACGCACGCACGCACGCACCATTATTCTCATTCTAGCCTATCTTGTTCTTCCTCCCAGAGAGAAGACAGTGACTGAGCATCTCACCGTGATGTGCCGAAGTTCCAGCCTCCAACAGACAGTAGTGTTTTCAGGGCTCTGTTCCTGGAATGTGGGGGAGAAAGTGGAAAAGCAGGCCTTACTCTGAGCAGCTGCAGTCACTGCTCTTCTTTCTTCTGTGTATTAGGCAAACAATGGGAAATGGAGAAGGGGACACAAGAATGGGAGAAGGCATGACAAGGGAGGAGACCACAGAAGAAAATAGAGGCAAATAATCAATCCAAAGACCACTGCAGCTCTGCACACCAAGATCCCTCACTTCCCCCAAAAATTTCCAGGAAAAAAAAAGTCTAAAATGTTTCTAGTCACTCATTTCCCAACTCAACAGATATTCACTGAGCAATGACTCTGTGCCTTTGACTGTTTGAAATGCAACAGCAAACACATAGACAAGCATCCCTCTCACCTCTGTGAAGTCTTAGCAGTATTAAACCCTCACAACTGGGCTCAAAGGGTGAGCCAGAGTTCACCAGGAGAAAGGAGTGTGAAGACATCCAGGAACAGGCAACATTAACTCCCAAGTCATCGAGGCAAGAAGCAGCTCAGGGGGCTGGTCGATGGAGAGCTCTTAAGAAGTGCTCAGATCCCCAGTTGAGAGAAAGGTAAGATTAGAAAAAGCAGAGGAAAAAAAAGAAAAAGCAGGGGAATTCAAGAGTAATAAGGGAAATAGGCATAATTTTCCTCTAGCTATAAAATCTGAGAGCCCAACTACATCTAACATACCTCTCCTTGAGTTTGTTGAACTCTGGATAGAGAATTTTCTCATCCTGGAGATTATTGGCAACAATCTGATTGTTGCTCATCGAGGCAAAGGCAAATATCAGGTGTGTACAAAGAAAGGGATCCAGGTCACGGGGCAAGATGGAGGCAGGGACTGGCCGACTGTGAGCCCAGTTGGTGAAATAGCAGACCAGCTTGTAGGCAGTACCTGGCATGGACAACAAGGATTAGTCAGCAGAGATCATGGGGCAAGGAGGGAACTCGGCTTCCGGAGGGTAGAGACAGCACAGCCAAAGAGAGCAAGCCACTGTAACAGCCCACTCCTCCCACATACACCGGCGCCTCCTCCACAAGCCCCTAGACCTCTCACCCTTGCTGCTAAGGCCCAAGAGAAGAAAGAATGTCTTATCCATCTAGATGCCGGCACACACTGAGCCATACAAACAGCAAGTGGCCAGCGTCCTGTGCTGAATTATATTGGATCAGCAACCTCTGACCAAGGAGCCAAGACAGGCAGAAGTCCAGGAGACACTGGATGGAGATTTCCTAGCCAGAAAATCTCCCTGACTTTGGAGGGTGGTAGGTGGTTTCCTTACCGTCGTTGGGTTTCATCAGAAGAACCAGCCCTGCAGGAAATGGAGGAATTAATATACACACGCAGTGTGGCTTTCCCCAGTACACCCCTTAGTTAGCGGGTGCCCCCTCCAGCTCAGCACCATATATGCATGCAGATGCACACTTGGTGACACACATCAGTCACTGGTTTCCTCTATTTCAAAGTTAACAGTGGAGCTAGTCTAAGCCTCTTTTCTACAATCATCAATTGCACCTGCTCATGCTTTGCATAGGGACAATGATAGATGTCCAAGCTGAAGCTCTCGGCCGGTGATTCTCAATCCAGCTATAAACTCAAAAGCACTCATATCAAAGCCCTCTTCCCAGAAATTCTGAATAAACTGGCTCAAGATAAAGCCCAAGCATGAAAGCAGCTAGGTTGGAGAACTGCTGCCCGGCCCCTTCCTCCGAGTACCTCTGATTCTTTATTGTGTCTGTCTCATATCTGCCTCATCCAGACTCCGAGTCCCAGGCTGCTTACTGGGCACCAGAGAAGCAACAAACTGCTATCTCCTGAACTGTGTGGCACTGCTAGGATCCGCCATACTCACCAACCCACAGCAGCAGCCTCCCCATCTCAGCTGTCTGGCAGCAATGGGGCGGGAGCTCAAGACCCTTTAATAGGAGCTGGCCCATGTGCAGCATGGGGAGAGCCCAGTACACACACATGCCATGCCAGAAACAAGTCACAGTGACCTCAGAAATACTCCTACTCCCTCTCAGGAACAGCTGTAGTTCTCAGGGCCAACAAAGCCACATCCGTGGCCTGACGCTAGCAGGGAGTCAGTGTTCACCCTAGGCTATAACAAAGACAAGGGCAGTGTTCCTGAGCCTTGTCTGGCAATTGGCCCCATTTCCTGGTACCCAACTCCCCACAGCTGAGGTGGAGGAGAAACACTGAATGATGGAGTATATCCATAGATTATCAGAAAAGCAGTGTCATGAAGCTTTGGTGCTTCAGCTTTGGATTCTGGCTTCAGAGCCAAGGTAGCACTCTTGTTACACCACTTACACGTTTTATAATTTTGGATGAGTTATTGAGCCCCTGAAGTTTCCACACACAAAGAAAAGTCTGTTTTTCTCGAGCTAATAGCTCATTCTTATCTCCCAGGAATATACAGGAACTGAAGAGATAGTGTGAAATTGCGGCTTGCATAAAAACAAGAGCTTAATTCATTACAGATGTTAATTAGGAAGCTGGCTAGAAGAGCAGAATGCTCAAACTCAAACCCTGACACTCACCAAGCAGCTCAAGTCAACAGGTGGAGTAAACACCCTGAAACAGCGCATTCTCTACACAAACAGAGTTCAGACCCGGTGTCCAGTGTGCAGTCTGACTGGAGAACTATCGCACTAGTCCCTCTCCTCTGCTTCCTCTGACCTTTCACTGTCAATTGACATGAAGCCCTTCGGTCAGGAGAGATTGGTAAAGTAGGGGATAGTACACTTGAATAGCAGTTATTGGTTGTCCTGCATGGCGAGTGGGCCTGGAGTTGATAGAGCCATTACTTTCTCACGCAAACAAACAAACAAACAAACAAAAAAACCATGCAAACAAACAAAACCCTGAAACTAGAAAACATTTGGGCAAGTATATGAGCCAGCCATGAGAATGGCACCTGAGCCTCAGGAATATGAATATGATTATGGACACCCAGAAGTCAATTTTAAAGAAATGCAACAATGAAAGGTTTTTAAAAAGTCTGTACATCAGCTGTTGCTTTAATCCATGTGTTTTCTCTTTTTCTGTTCCAGATGGTTTCAACCGTGTGCCCTCTCTCTGAGACAGATGCTGCTGCACATGTGTAGGAAGGGTTTAGAGAAATTAGTGCCCAGTGGTCAAATCTGTTGAACATCTGACCTTCACTTATGTGATGAACTAAGCAAGAAACTCATTTTTATACTAATATCAAAGAACAAAGGCAAATGAAGGAGAGAGAGAGATAGTTCTTGGAAAGCAACAATGGTTGCAGTAAGAAATCATTGGCTTTATTATCAAACAAACCCCAGGGCCCCTTCCTGCTCTGCATCATCCCTGGGGTCCTTTGAGTCCTATCTACATGCTTCATTCTTTGGGCTACTGTTAACCTAAATCAGAAGATCAGCAAGCCTCCCAAGGCAATAATTAAACGACTCCCGATGTTCGACTCTAATGACCATGCTTTTCTCAGTCACTGCTCATGTGCCCCAATTCTTGTTATTGAATCTATGACTTGCAAGGTGATCTGGAAATTACTGGTACTAAGGTTGGTTTCTGGGGCCTCAGTCTTGTCAGGCTCTCTCATGGCCTGATACTCTACTGGTTCCCTTTTAATACTTTATGAAATGTTGACCTCTACTTCTGTGACTCCTGCCTTTCAAGATTTTATGCATGATTGACATTTGTACCCTTCAAATCACACTGCTGCCAGTATACTTTACCTAACAATCTGCACCTCATCTCTCCACATCCACAGCAGTAGCTTGGATGCTGAGAGAGCAAAGACAGAACAATGGTTGCCATCAATGAGCTCTGCCTAATCCAGGAGTGACAATGCCAAAAACCTGGCAACTCTGATTCTGCATACATAGTGGTTGATCAAATAAGAATTAAATAGAAAATCAGTGTGCTGTGCCCATTTGTTCACAATTTTATTCCTTCAGTTCTTGTTTTAAAACAGCAAAAAAAAAAAAAAAAAAAGCCACTGCTTCTATGACACATCCACTGGCATTTCGAGTCTTTTCTTTAGTGCTTAGCCTATTCTTACAGGGAAAGATATTTACTGATGTACGTTACTTGGATAACTGAAGAATTCTGCAAAGCAGCATGATTGCTCTGGTATTTCATTGATAATGGAGATGAAGGCAGGAACACACGTGAAGTCCTTTGTTTGATAAAAGCATTTGACTAAAAACTGACATTGAGGAATTGCAGAAGCGTGTTTAAATCAGTTGTTTGAATGATACAAAATTCCAGAGTATTGACCACGTTTCACAGTAAACCTGAATGAGCATTTTCTAGTCAATTACCTCATCTTTAAAGTGAAGACTGTTTCCCAGCATTTATTATAAAGGATGATTGTTAAGCATGAAGACTTCTCTTATCTCACATTGAATGTGTATTTTATTAAAAATGTGCATTATCACATAAAGCAATGTTTTCACAAATCATGTCCCTTGTCTTTTATTCTGACATGTTTGAGAGCATGTGCCACTATTTAAGACTTTAGAACACTGGATTTACAATCTAAGCATATTGTTCCAGGCTTCTTAGTTTGGGTTGTTTTTGAGATAGGACCTCATAGCCCAGGCTGATGATCTGAGAGAGCTTTACTAAAGGAGCTTTTGGAATAAGGAAATGTACATCCACAGAAAACAGGCACACCCAGCTTAATGTTTCTAAGCGTAGCCAATGTCATGATTTCTGATAAATTGTAGACCGCAGAACCTGAAGCTAGTTTAGCTGTGGACATAAAATGTATTCTCAGGTAGTCTTCATTGTGTTGCTGAGAATCCAAGAGAGAACCACCATCAAAGTGGAAATTTTTCATTTGAAACTAATTCTTAATTCTTTTTAGCACAATGCCTCTAAAATGAATTGCTTGCCTAGAATCTGGCACTTAACATCATAGGGTCAAATGAAATCTGTTATTGTGACTTTTCAACCAATGATATTGGCTGGCTTCCACCAGAACGGTGTTAGGGACTAAACTCTATGTACTGAGCTTTTGAATTTTGATGGTCTATTCCTTACACAAAGAACAGCAGAATACCATTTATAACAAGTATTCCACAGTAAGTGGAAGGTCACACTAAACGTAAGCTAAGATTGTAGGATCATGCATTGTATTCTGTGTAACTTGCCAGTTATCCCTCCCTTCCAGCAGCAGACCTCCTTCAGCCCCTTTTGGGTACACCTGTCCTATTACCACACACTAAAGATTAAATCATCCATGATTCCATAGAAGTCCAAATCCCAGGAGTTATGGGAAACCTCACAGAGGAATGTGTTTCGATGTTCAACAGTGATCTGCTTGCCTTGCTTACTTTCCAACAGTACTATACAGACTAGAGATGAAGTTTGGAGACCTTGAGACTAGAGCTTACCCTTTCCCAAACGAAAGCAATTTATGGTCCTGAACTGCCCCCAGTATTACCCGTGTTGGCAAAAAGCAGCTCACTAGCTTCTCCCACACATGGACTTTGTTTACATGCTCTAAGCCTTCACAATACACACACAATCTTATCTTTTTCTATTCACATTTACCTAGTGATCTCAAAGCTAAGCCAAACAATATCAAAACACAAAGGAAATACAAGTCACTCATTCTATCCAAATACAACACTCTTTAAAAACCTGAGCCCTTTACTCTCATATTTAAAAAGAAGCAATGTTATGATGCTCTGTGAAGTCGAAAGCTTTAGAATACACAGCCTCTTCCCCAATATGCTGCCCTTCCTTACATGCTAAAAATATAGAAGTTCAAAGCAGTTTGAGTTTGGGTACCTTTTAAATTTTATTTACATGTATATAGGTGGGCAGAGGACAACTTATAGTCAGTACCATCCTTTCAAGATGTGAGTCTGAGACAGAATTTAGGCCATCAGCTTGATGGTAAGCACTTTTACCCATTGAGCCGTCTCCTGACCCTAACTTTGAGTATTTCTGAAGCTGTGAAGAGTTAAGCCACAAGAAATGTCCACATGAGGACCAGCTGTCGCCTGAGACTATACAGACCTTCAGTGTTTCATGTCCCAAGCACTCGCCACTCTAGGAACAACTCCCAGATCTCAGTGGGCCAAGGATCAGTAGCTGAGCAATAGTCAGGCTAACAGATTTCTAAGTATGGATAACAAGGCTAAGGAAATGCATTCACTCAAGGTCAGACATTTGAACAGTAACACTAACCTGAAGAAAACCAAATGGTTTTCAACAAGCAAAATGCCCCCACTGTTCCCTGTCACTGGGCCTGGCAGAATGGACTAGAACTATTCTCAAGACAATGGATGGCCTGCTGCAACTGTAGCACTATATTCCTGATTGTTTCCAGGTCTTTTATTTTGAACTGTCTTCTCTGCTCATATATACAATTGTCCAAAAATTATGCTTGTTGTTTATCATGGCTTTAACTAGGTTTGAACATCTGTGGCAAGCATTAATCAATGTGAACTACTTTTTATCAATACAGACCTAAAAGGAAACTCAAATCTTAGGTTCTCTGAAGAGTAGCAAGTGGTCTTATCTACCCTATTTTTCATTTTTAAACAATGAAAAGTAGTAACAGTTTTTCAAAAACTTGTTTCTCTTCTTTGGTGTCATTTTAACCCTTTTTTAAAAGTCTTTTTTTTTCCTTTAAGGTTTTTCCCCCCTATCAGTTTTAAGCCCAAGAAACAGGCCATGCAAGTGAACTTTATGCCCTTCATGCCTAAGTGACCACAAAACATAAGCTTTGTCTCTGAGCAGCACAGTGGTTAGAACAATGGAAATCTGTACTCCCACCCAGTCTCAAGCCCTGGCTGACCATGCATGCAAGTACAGAATGGAGGCCCACTTACATGCCTTTTCCCAAACTAAAGTTAAAACAGCTCCAATATAATCAGTTATTTATCA